TGTTTGCTTACATTAACTCTATTCCCCGCCCTTGTTTGCTTACATAATTTAAAGGAGTTCCCCCTAACTCTTATACCTTGTCAGTCCCTGCAGATTCTTGTTCTGGGTCCTCCCTCCTCTTATCAGGCCTCAGACTTAGTCTCTTCGGGAGGGGTTTTCCCTATTATCTGAGTTAGCTCGTCTGTGGTTATTTGCCTCCTCTTGCAATTTCGCTAAGTGCTGTTAGTATTAAAGCTTGGCTATAGAGAACTCTGTGCATGCTCTAAAGCTATGAAGTTAACATTGCCAATTTAGATATTGCTTCATTGCCACTTTAGATATTGATCCCTTCATTATCTAAGTAGTTAGATAATTAAATACATAAATCTGAACTATGAGCTGTTTAGTAACTAGGAGTGATCATATGTCTAATTTGGCAAACCTTAAATGCTTTTTTGTAATTTACAAGGCTTTTGTTTTGAAGAACAGATCTCTGAAATCAGTGCTAAATACATAAATAAAATCTAAATATATAAGTAAATCCTTAAGCTGTTTTGTCTATTTTAGAAGTGAAGCTAAACAAACTGTTAAACACAGTGGATTCCTTTGTAAGCGGTAAACAGTACTTTCAATTGTATTTTCCAAGAAAAAAAAATAACATGAATCTACTGCTTCCCTTGTAATTTTATCCTGAAACGGTTACTCAGATTTCAGGGGGGGAAATGCAGGTTTATTTATGGTAACCAATGATTTCAAAAGATTGTACAGTGCATTAGCATATTCATTTCAGCAGAATAAGAGACATCCTGGTTCTCATCATCACACACAAGAAATTACTGTCAGATTTTTACCGAGAAAGTGCTACACCTTCTTAGGTGACACTGATTCCTACACAAGTCAGAAAAAAAACTTGGCTTTGTAATACAGGGACAGGATTAAAGAGAAACAGTCTCAGCCCTGCCAAGTGGTTAAGAAACACAATAGTAATGATTGGCATTTTTCTATAAAATACTCCTCATTAATATATTCAACAGTTATCTGCATACTCAACTGTAATAAAATTATTTCAATAGCCAAGTTCAGTGTCTCTTCTGGAATACTGTGGTTTCTAAATACAGGAAAAGATATGCCAGTTGGTCAGGGAATTGTAAGCTGCTTAGAATTGGTTCCAGTTAGAACAGCCTATAAGGCTTGCAGTAAGTAAGTAAATAAATAAATGGTTTTCTATAAATAAATATTTCTGGGCTTGAAGCTAGGTAAACATATTCATCACTTACATTTCGCAGCTGTATTTGGGCAAATTGTTGTAGCTGACCTACTCACAGGATTTTCAGAAGACCCAGACAGGAAAGAGATAAAAAGTCCCTCTGAGTATGTTTTAAGTTCTTCCAAGACCTGCTGCATGCACGTCATCACAGTTCTGGATTGGAGTTCTCATTAAAAACTAAACTCTAGGTATAATATCAATTTTGTGCAGTTTGTTAGTGGAGTTCTATATGTTTTATGCATTCTGACATATTTTAAGGGGTACATTCTTTCTTGTTAGAGCTCTTTTATTCCAACGGCCTGTATTTTGTGATAGGACTTTCTCTTTCCTGAGAAGTGTGGTAAGTGCACGTAATTTGTGCACAGGTTAGTCTTAGACCCGGAGTACAACCATAGTCACCTGTGGTTGGGTAAGTAAAGGGTGAAACATCTTAACATGACTAGTATTAGCTATGGGCTACGTGCAAAGGTGATTATGATATGGAGGCATTTCTGTCCTTTGTACAGTACTGTAAAGCGTAACTGCAAACTCTCAAATACATAGGCAAAATTCCTTTTCATGATTGTGTGGTGAATTAAAAAGGGTCCAGGGAGAAGTGGTCAGATCCTCATAAACTTTCCGAAAGCCTCCTGCACTTGAAGCTATTGTTTATGGAATTGTGCGTGTGCGAGAGAGAAAAGCCAGCTTGTGGGAGGTATAAGACAAGCGAGGGCGCTTTTTGCCTGTTGCAATATTCCGAAGCCTGAATTGCTGGGAGTTTCTGTCCCGGGGTGGGTGAGCAAATAAGTGAAGGCGAGAGGTCAGCGCCTTTCTCCCGGCGTTGGGCTGCCCTTGCGCGTCGGCAGCTCCAGCGGAGCACGCGGCAGGGCTGTGGCCGGGCGGAAGTGACGGCCGTTTCACCTGCTGGGCTGCGAGGGGACAGAGGAGGGCGGCGCGAGGCAGCGAGTGTCCGTTGGGAATTCGCTCGGGAGTCGCTCTTTTTTCTCTGGCCGCCGGCGACTGCTCTCCCCGCCATGGCATCGCTGCTGCCGCTCTTGTGGGTTGTAACGTTTCTCTGTGCAGGTAAGGGTGGAGGTCAGCGAGGAACGGGAGGAGACCCCCCTTTTTCCGCAACCCCCGCTCGCCCAGCTTCCCAAGCGCTTCTTTCGCCGAGGTGTCCCCGGGAGATGGGAAAACAAAGGGTCCGAGTTAAGGGACGGGAGGTTGGATGGGTCGCTTTGCCAAATGACTCTGTAGACTCTTCATTGTTGGGGCTTTTCGGGAGCAATCGCTCAGTTGTGAAAGGGCTCCGAAGAGGGGCGTGGGGGAAGAGAGCGAGAGAAAAGAAACGCGTCTTTCTGCCTGCTACCGCGTCTTTTTGCCTCTCGGTGGTTCTCCGCGTAGGTTCGTTTAAAAAGACACAAAACAGTATGTCGGCCTCTTTCTTTTGGTGAGATCTTTCCCCGATGGGGGTGGGGCGAGCGGGAGGTATCGGGATTTCACTCTCTGATGATTCACCGGAGGCATTGTTGTGAGCGCTGGGTTCGCGTAACTGCTATCCTTACCAACGCCCAGTAGCAAAGTCCTTCGCTCTTTAAAGTAGTGAGCCAGGCGAAGAACTCAATTTAAACAAAGATGTAAAAATAAAGCACATTTTTAAGAGGGGCATAATTTTACATTTCTTCATTAAAAAAAAAAAATTAAAAACGTTTCACAAGCTTGAACAACCCAAATGATCGCTACTCCATAAATCCCTATAGTATGGGGCAGGTGCTGGCACAATGATTCCAAATAGGATGCTGCCTTTATGGATTTTTGCTAATAGTGCTGGAAAGGCTTCCAAAACTAGGTGGAGGAAGCACAAGCTTTCCCAGCATGCTCTTTCTGATCAGAACGTGGCCTTGTTTTGCTTCAATTCAACAAGGCTTCACTACCTTTGTAGAAATACAAAAGTAGAAGGTATGTTTAAGGGTACCAATAGCTGCCCAATTTAGGACTCATCCTTAGCTTCTTTTGAAAATAAATAAGTTTCTTAGCTACTTTGAATAAAGATGGAGGAGTTATTAGAACTAGATAAACATCACCCATTACAGACCAACCTGTATAGAACTTAGGACTTGTGATTGACAAGTACAGGACTGCAGAGTTACAGTGAGTTCAGTCTTTGTCTAAAACTTGAGTTTAATTTAACTCAGGTCGCTAAAGATGCATCCACACAAAACTTTCATAATCTATGATTTTACAAATATCTTTGTAAATGCCTTCCAGAAAAACCTGTTAGACCAAATAATTGTATAATGCTTTTTAACTCTCAGTCTGGAAGTATTTTTCCTGCAATATATGTTCTAAATGGGTATAATTATTTTAGAAAGAAAAATCATGCTGCAGACTCTACATTCAGATCTTTATGGTTCGACAAACTTACCTTTACCTGCCATTTTAGAGGGACATTGGGAGGCATAAAATTAAAGTGGTACCATAAATTAAAATTTTTATGTTAATTCTAATACGTTGGCTTGTAATGACTAGAAGTACTGGTAGAACAAGGAAGATGACAGTTGCTTAGATATTATGCTGTATCATAAAAGTTTTATCTAGCTAGTATTAAGCTTAAGGTATACAAATGTTTTTGTTATGATATATCCTCAGGTGTACTCCAACACATGTTTATTTTTTTATTAAATTTAAATGCTGCCCAACTCCCAGCTATTCTGGGTGGTCTACAAAATATAAAACAAACAAAAAAAACATTTAAAATATATGGATCTTATTTATGAAGGATTCTCTTCACAAAGTTGAGCGATAATAAGGTTTATATCATTTAATGCTGGGAAACTGCTGCCCTTGCCTTATAATAATTTCCTCTTCTCAAAAAGTTGCTATTAAACTGCACACAGTTAGAATTCAATTTATCCAACACCTGTGAGGTTAAAAGTTAGAGAAAATAATAGCTTTTCAGCAGTTTTTAGCTCTTTGTTTCCTGTCCAGATATCTTATGCCACTGTTGATGTCATAGTTTTGCAACATTACTCATAGGATAAAAATTCTTTTTGGTCATCAAACAGTATTTTGTTTAAAATGCATGGAACTAAAAACAAAAACCACAAATTGGAAACTAACAGTGGTAGGCATGATGATGATGATGATGATAATTGTTTAATTTGGCTTTAATTTTTTCAGTATGTATATCATGTTCACTTTAAATGCAAACTACTAAAATAGGGAATTCAAGTAAAGATTTTTTTCTCAGATGTTAATGAAATAATTATAATTCACAAAAAGTATGCCAAAAAATACCAAATATTAAAATACAAAATTTTGCCTTGTAACAGTAACTGTAAAATAATTCTGAACCCTCTGTAGAACATGGGCAGACAACTTTGGCAGCATAATTTTGTGGCGGAATCTCATATATATAGGTGGGTCCTGTAGAAATGGTCCTCACGATCTCCCGTTTGCTTTCCACCCAGTCGCAAATTTGTGAAACTGAAAAATCTGTAAATGTGCACTTTTGGAGGACTCTTTTTCAAACTTGTAATCATGCTTGTGAAGAAATTGCCTGTTTTAATAACTTCAGGATGGAGATATAAATATCTGGTTAACAGGGATCACTTTTTAAACCCAATCTAAGTTAGAGTTTCAAAAATATTCTTTATTTTAGACTCTATTTGACCTTTGGCTGCTGCACAAAATTTAAGTTCCAGTGATGGAACAGAGACAGAAAATGGTATAATGAATAAGTGGAGTAAAAGAGAACAAAAAATGTAAAAATAAGCAAAATCATAGATATAATAAGGTCAGGTGAAGAAAATCTAAATGAGACATATGTGCAGGAGGGAAGGACAGAAGAACGATGGTTAGAGACGTGACACTGTAATAACTACAACATAGAAGCAGTAGTATTCTTTCTGTATCATGAAGTTTAATGGTGCAAATAATTATCTTAAACATAGGTTGACAGTAAACAGATTATTTTTCTCATTCTATACCGATTTAATAGCTAATTCTGTAGCTAGAATAGAACAGTGAGATCAGATGTGCCAAAACAAAAATGCCAGAGAAGAGGGTGATTTCCTCTCCTGTCCTGTGGCAGGCATAGAGAGATTTAAGGAGGAAAAGATTCTTATTTGTCACAGACCTATTCAGAAGGTAGGGGGAAAAAATGACACTGAGGGAGATATGGTAGCATGTGGGAGGGGAGATACTGGCATCAGGACTACATATTATTTGCCAAAATCGCTATACCTCCCATTGTAATTTCAGAATCATTTACCAACAACAGTTGAATCTCATGGAAGAATAATCTCATCCCCCTGTTATAGCTACTGTATAAAGGAAGGAGAAGGAATGAAAAAGTTTGGTTCTGATTTTCTCTGCTGTTCTATTCTGGTATTGAGGTTTTTCCTCAAAAAGTGCAGCCCCGACAAAAAAATTACCTATTCCTTTAGTAAAGATTTATAAAATGAGCAAGCAGTGAAGAAAATTTATGAAGTTTCATATCCTCCTCTTAGTACTAGAACTTGATCGTCCAATGAAACTAATAGCCAGGAGCTTTAAGACAGTCATACATTATTAGTGCATCTTCAGATAGCACTTACATAATTTATAAAGTGTAGTGCTTCAAAAGATTATCACATAAATGTTTGGATAAAAAGTGTATCACTGGCTACTGAATATGATACTTAGGTGTAGCCACCACTTTTTGAAGTGGCTGTGTTTGTTGCTGAGAGCAAACAGAAGATTATTGTCCTGTATCTTTTCTGTGATATTATGGAGGATTCCTAGTTTGCTCATGGGAAAAATGGGATTGTTAGACTAATACAGTAAAATCTGAACTTTTTTTGTTCCTTTAAAATTGCCCATTCCTGGGGTTGGAGACGTTTTCATCATTGGTCTTGGATTAAGTTAGCACTTCCTCATTCAAGACTGGTCTGCAATTTGGGGGTCCTTGTGGACTTACAGCTACTGCTCAAAACAGGTGGGAGCTGTGTCCAGGAAGGCCTTTGAACAGGTTTATTTTGTGCACCTATTGAGCCCTTTCCTTGACCAGGAGGTCCTACAGATAGTTACGTCCTGGTTACTTCACAATTGGATTATTGCAGTGCTTTCTACATGAAGTTGCCCTCGACCATCCAGAAGCTACAGTTGGTACAAAATGCAGTAGCACAAGCAGTAATAGGTGCTTCTTGGTATGCCCATGTGCCACCATTGCAACATGAGCTGCATTGACTGCCAGTCAGTTTCTGGGTGCAGTTCAAGGTGCTGGTCATTACCTATAAATGAGGTGCAGTTCAAGGTTCTAAGATCATTAGCCTTTTCATGGCATAGGGCCTGGAACCTACCTCTAATTGTTTCTGCCTGCCAGGTATGTTCTGGTAGAATGGGGGTGGTCCAGATCCTTCCATTAAATGTCATATTATGGGACCTAGGAAGCGTGCCTTCTCTGATATGGCCTTCCCCTCTGGAACAGCATCCCCCCAGAGATACCTGGGGTTCTGCTTTGGTCTCAGACCTGGGATTAATGAGTTGCGGGTCCCTTGTTGTGATTCTCTTATTATGATGGTTGTTTTAGTCTGGGCTGCCTATGTTGTATGTTTTTAACTGTTTTTATTGTTTTGGGATTTTTTAAGTCACCCTGAGATTACCAGAATGGCTATAACAAATTTTAAAGATAATAATTTAAAATAATTGTAATAATGATAATAAAGGAAGAAAGGCTGTGTTGTATGTTTGTTGAATTATTGAAGCAGCTTCAGGAACATTTGTGAAAAATACTAATAATGGTAGTGTAGAAAGACTTCATATTGCTATTTCAGTGCAACTTCTGGGTCTAACACAAAGGAGATAGCAAACAACAGTGTTACCTACCCATGATAGAGTCATGCATCTTCCTTCTACTGCTATCTTAAAACAGCTACCCTTTGTTTAGTAACTTCCTCGATTAGTGACCATTCACAGAATGGTACTAAATGGTAATAAAAATTAATTTTCTGACCAATGTGCGCATTTTCAACCAAATTTCATGTACCTGAGAACAAAAGCCTTCAGTGTGAAACTGAAGATCTGGTCAGTTTCAGGCAGAA